ATTGGCAGGATCTGACTAATGAAGGCAACTGTATGCAATGCAGCAGGATCAGTAGTTTACAAATCAACTTAAAACAGAATGACAAGTACTTAGATCACTTGCAGGCTGCACAGTGTGTCTCAAGTCTTCAAGAAACCTTTGGGGCTGTGCGGTAGTGACACTTCACTGAATGTAACCAGTTAGGTTATAGAATATTTGATATTCCAAATTACTTAATATCAATGGAAGTTATTTCTATTGTTTGGGTATATATTTGGAAGTGAGAAACTGTGCCTTTACAAGGCTCTAATAAGATTTATTCAGTTTTCATTCAAACAGAGGACTGGCCAGTCTAAACAGCTGCTCAGAAAAGAGAAATAAATTCTTGTCATTTTATTCTGTAAAAGATATGCAGCCCACCACAGAAAGAGTCAGCATGCAGTTACACAGGAGCAAAAATCCTCCAGACAGATGACGAGAGATCTCTGCTCTACTGGATATGTTGGCTTGTCAGCCAATCTTTCTTCCTGTCTGACTCAAAATGCAGACAGCTATTTGGCCTCACAGAGTGCCTCAACAAGGCAAGACATGAGGTTTACGTGACATGTCCCAACCCTTGCCATTGTGAGGAGGACCAGAGCTGCTACTGAGCCAGACCTCACACAGGAATTGTCAACAGCCTTCCCGGGACCAGTGAATCACTGGACTCTGCATACATCACAGAAATTTATCCATCTTTCCCATCCCCATCCAATAAGGAGATATATGGGACCCACTACAAAGGCAGCATTTTGCCCAAAAGCTGTTATATTAACATAACATAAAGAGTGTTTCTAAATGATATCACATTGAAGAGGAAATACAATAAATAATTAACCTCGCGATGCTCATGCAACAGTCAGACAGCTCTTAATAGTTGAAGGAAGGGAAGGAACCTCTTCCTCAGGGTTGTGTTTGCCACAGTAAGATGCAATTGAGAGCCAATGACACATCTGGTGAATGAATATTCTCCTATTCAGCTGTAACATACATTGTTCTTCCACGGACAGGTGTACCCATTGTCCACAAAGTACTGCTTGACCAAGGAGTGCTAGATTCCAGTTTTCTAAACCAGGGAGTCCCAGCAGGCACAGCTCTGTTCACCACTTCAGTATTTAGTAATTATATGAAGCTGCAGAACAAATTAGAGAAAGGGAATGAGCTATGTGGACTCAGAAAATAGTGCTGAAATGATGTTAGGACAAAGCAACGGTACAATCCAGTCCAGTCATGATGATCTCTGAATTCACAGTGCTGTGAACTGTTCTCCTAAATTTTCAGCATTTTGCAGAAGGCACAGCTGGTGAGGCCACTACCAACAGCAAAACTCATGCATCTACTCCTCATTAAGCTCCCGAAGGGAAACAATAGGGGTACCTTCAGAGCTAAGTAGCTGAACCCTGTCTATGCTCTTGGGAAGCTGAAAATAAGATAGCAAGAATTTTGATTCACCAAGTCAATTTTTTACTTGTAGAATCTTTATATTTTTCTAATTGCTGTTGCTTTTCAGGCATAAGAAAAGAGATTCTGTAGTGGCTGGACATTGTAGCACCAACTTTAACAACAAGGAATTATGGAGTTACAGCAGCAAGTTCCACTATGTTGTCACTCTTCGAAGGGAAGGAGGAAAAGTTATTCTTGGACCTCATTCACAGACAGCAAGAAGAAGACAGGTTTTTCAGATTCAAAACCACATTCACTACCCATGCTACCTTTCTAATTTTACGGAAAATGATGTTATGCTGCTGAAGGTATAGACTTATACGTCATTTATGGAATACATACCTCCTATGATGTATCGTTTTCTTCCTTCTTATGATGGAAATGAGCCACAGGAGTTTCTGGTGACTTTTTTTGGGGGGTGATATAGTCCGGTCTGCTAAATCAGCAAACTGGTGAATTGGAGATGCACTGGGAACTAAGGCAATCAACAAGTTCTGTACTGCATGCCAATGCTAGAAGTAGAAAAATTCTGGAGCTTACCAAGATAGTTCGGTCTCTGGATTTTCAATGAAAGAATAAAGACTATCCACAGAAAGAAGTGTATTTCATATATAGAAATAATTTGGTTAAAACCCCTAGTGTTTTGTCTGGAAAACAGTTCTAACTAAAAATGTCCTACTTCTCTGATTTTTAATTTTGCTGGTGTCAGTGAATTTGTGATTTTGTCTTCCCAATGATCTGAGAGCCAGTGAAGTAAAACAGGGTACTTTTCAGAGCTCGTATTTCAGCTAAATGGGTTTTCATGAGAGAAAGAATACTCATTTTCCTCATTCTTACATTGATTACATAAATCCTGTCACAAAGAACTGGGGAATCTCAAAAAGGGGTTGCAGTAAGCCCCTATTACCATAATAAAAATGATCCAATTGTTAACATGCTGGGGCCTCTATTAAACTCTGCCCCACACTAGCTATTTTCTGTAACATCTACAGCTCCACAAAAGAGCAAAACTTGATAAAGCTGTGCAACTCATTCCATTGCCTACCTCAGATGACCCCCAAACCAAGAATAACTTGCACAGTAGCAGGATGGGGAAAACACAATTGTTTGAGAAAGGCTTTCTGATACCCTGAAGGAATTCAATATCACTGTCATCAGCAGGCAAATCTGCAACAAAAATCATTATAAAAACAACCCTATTATAATAGATAATATGATTTGCACAGGAGCTAATGAAAATCTTAACTTCAAAGGAGGAAAAAAGAAGAAATCCACAATACATTTTATTTCTACATGAAACTGGTGCAAATTTTATTTAAAAGAAGCATTTTTCTGCCCTTGTAAATTTGAACAATGTATTTTTTCTCTTTTCCACAGGGATTCTCGAGGACCCTTAAGATGCAATAATGTGATGACCGGCATCACTTCTTTCAGGGAGGCAAACAAGTGTGGTAGTGTTGATGACCCTGGTGCCTGTATTTGACTTACACAGTAAGACTTTCAGTGAATAAAGCAAACCATAGGGGGAGCATAATAGATGAAGTTTTGACCAAGTTTGTACTTGTGTAACAGTATCTAGTTTTGAAATAGGCTTTCAAAAATCACTCTATTATACTAGTAAAAGAGGTATTCCCATGGTGAATTTTAGCAACTTTACGTCCTTACAGATGAAAATATGTATGGCTGTTTTCAGGACAGGTGAGATCTTAGCAGGGCCAGAACACAGCGCCTGCTACAACAGGACTTGAGCTCATACTGTCAACCATGGAATCATTTAACCAATATTTGTGACTCAAGTTTCCAACATTTTTGTGTTGCATATTCAGACTGGGGTCTACATGGATGAGTATTTCCAACCAAGAACCTAATCCAGCTGCCTGTGCCCTCACTGCATGCTGAGTATATACAGCACTCTTCTGTACCTGGACTGCTGCAAATACACTGCATGGCTTTAATACTGATTAGCTCCTTCCCTGCCAGAGTCACCCAGCCTGTGTTACACACCTTTTCCTAGATTTGACAAACCACACCATTAATGTACTGTTAAATGAAAAAAAGAATTTCTGGGGAAATTAGAAAAAAAAAAAAGAGTAAAGAGACTAATTTCAGTCCTTTATTCTCATTTAAGAGAGAAAAGAATGTTTTTAACATTTTTAAAATACCAATTTGAATATTTAAATCATATTCTAAAAATTTAATAAAATTTACTGCAACAAACACACTCATATTAGAAGACAGGCACAGTGAAAGTTATTTCCCATTCTTAGACATCAGCTTCTTGGTAGTCATTTCTCAAATGATATTCAACGTTCCCATTTTCTAACCTGTTTTGAAGACCACACAGATGACCACAGAAAACAGCTGGTTAGTAGCAGACTTAATTACTAGGTAAAAAATGGTCTCAGACTTCCAGACGTGAAGTTAGCAGCCATGTGATTTCCGAACGGCAGAAGATGAGGTTTTAAAAATTATGAGACTAAAGTCATGATAGTTTCACATTCATTTCCAGAGATACTTGCATCCCTGCTAACATATCCTATCTCTCTTTATGCATTTGATTACAGTGTAATTTTCCATGGGCTGACACTGCTTTACTCCCCTAATCTCCCATTCTTCCCACCTACAGGAAACAGTCTAAATACATTTCCAGAGGAAAAAAAAAATCAAAACAATAAGAGTTTCTGAGCTCACAGGGCTTCTAATATAGAGGTGCAAGAGTGAATCCTTACCACTTGCCTCTCATCACTCCTAATAATAAAAGCAAAGCTCCAAAGATATTTGTGGATAGAACATGTCTTGAATAACACTACTAAGTTGCATTTGAATAGCATCTGAAGACCAATCCTGACATCCTTACTTAGCTGTTGACAGTGTAGAAGTCTTACACAGGCAAATGTCTGCTAAAGTCCAAGATGCTTGGCTCTTGTGAGCACTAAATACAACTCGTAAGAAGGCAACAGCTACCAGGTTTCCTGTCATACAAAATTAAACTGGTACCCTTGAGGAATGAATGAAATAACTGTTGTGTTTGATCAAAACAGTGTGCTGATTCACTACATACACCCGGCTTATTAACTAGTTGATCACATAATTATGCATAATAATAGAATTATGAAGCAATTATTTATATTCTCATTGTCAAACATAGTAGGTGGATTTAAGGAAACAAATCAAAATCCAATAGAGACATTTTGCTAATTAAGCTACTTACTATTACCACTGTGAAAACAATAAAGAATTCCCAAGAAACCATTTATATCTATTTACAGTTACATATTTAACCCAGATCTCTACAAATATCTAAACAGATTCTGTACCATGACCTATGTGATATATAGAACAATACAGACCCCTGAAGTGGTCTCTGCTGATCCTCGCCTTTGAATGATTCAAGGCAATTTATACACATTTGCATGTGATTTCCAATGGAGATGCTAAGATGATACAAAATTACTTACAAGCATCATAGCTAAAAGCAGGACCTATGACTTTATGCTGAAACTTGACACAGGGTGGATTTCATTAAACTTGCAATTTTAATGAAAATAAGTAAGACAAGCTACTAATATTTCACATTATGGACTGATGAGGAAAATTGCTTTCTCTTGAAAAAAATTGTACTATCTTTTGCTGTGTTTCCATTGGAAGGAACACACATATTTTGAATTACTGAATGGGCTAAATACATTTAAATCATTTGCTTTCAAGGAAAAGAAATCACAAAAATGAGCTCAAATAACCCTCAGAAAAAGCCTCGCTGCTGTGCTTGCTCTCCCCAGGCTCATGGCATTTCCACAGACAAGACGTCCCATCAGCCGCAACAGAAAAAAGCCTGCTCTGATCTGGGCTCAGAGCTGTGTGGAGGACTCTTCCTTTGTGAACTGTAAAATAAAATATATACAAAAAACAAAAGAAACATCACAATTCTGCATTGATTATGCCAGTCATTTTCACCATCCACAACCACAAGATGGCTTGTTCCACTTTTACTGCAGCAGCAAAACACACTGCATAGGAAGTGGGAAGCTCTATTATCTAATAATATCTAATATTATCTATAGAATATATTCACATTAAGAATGAGCTGAAGGCAATAAGTAAACTGAATAGGAAAACAGAAATCAATCCTATAAAAAGGTTACTGTCTTTCCATTGTTATTCTGCTCTGCTCAATAATAGGCAACCTCAATTACTAAAGTACCCAACAGTTGCTGATAGTTCGTCATTGTTAGCTGAAATCTTCAACATTTTACAGGAAGATTTAACAATGGCATTTAGTTACAATTTATCTATTCATTTCTTTGGGTGTAAAACTCATGTGGTTAAGGGTGTTTGAGGCTGATTTAGAACCACTTCACAATCATCCATCACAGTATTTTTTCTGAATGTCTTTTGATACATTCACAATTTCTTCCAACACTCAATTGCTTACAGAAAGGTATTAAGAGCTTTCATAAGCAGGAACATCTGTGTAACAATTATCTGGACTTTTGTTCATGAAAATTAGTTTCTTTTGCAGATGAGTAAACTGAATAGGAAACAGGATGATGTGTAGCACTCCAACTTCATTAAATTACTTTTATTTGACTTATATGGTAAAGGTTTTACTCCATACACTATTCTCAAAGGTAAGATTAAATCTAATTTTCATTTCTTGTAATATAATGAAGACTTACAAAGATTTGTGAAACCTCAAGCTTCCAGATAATTTCTCATAGCAACACATGCCTTAAAAGATGTACATAAATGAGGAGGGATAAGGAAGGAAAAGCAACACAGACAAGCAGCATTACACAAGGATAATGTGTAACCAGATCCACGTTTGCCTCTGCTGCCCTCTCTCTTCCATCCGTCTTTGCTTTGACCCTCCTGTGCCTTCCTCTTACAGGCTACTACTAAAGACAAGTCCCTGGTTCCACCCAAGTCCCTGGTTGAAATTCCAAGGCTTCTTTTACTGCATTTTGTCAGTGAGTATGAAAAACCATACATAAGAAAATGCAGCCAGTGCAAAAGAGATTTGTTTTTTTTCTTTAACTTCAGACACTTCTATTGGATCACTTCAGTTAACACTGAAACAAGTAAAACTTAATGGATAGGAGTGACAGCAAGCACCAGAAACAAGAAGGTCTAATAGCAAGGAACAACTTTTATGTGTAATATATCCCTACACAATGATGCAAGGAAACTCCACCTTCCTCTGGCTGTCAACATGGAACAAGGGAAACATGCTGCACCCCATTGTTTCACAGTCACTCATTCATTAAAACCCAGACAGCAATAAATAACACATGGTGATTTATTTTAAATGTCATTTGGAAGCTGGTTCAGTATCCTTGCATGATAAGCTGCAAATTCAAAGAGCCAAATCTAGTTCATATTACCTAGAAGGCCATCAGCCTAGAATACATTGGAAGCAACCTGACATTGCCACACTCAGTCCAGGCCTAGTAAGCCTTAGGGAGAAGTGGAAATTCACATCTTTCACTTGGGATAGCCTTAGAAATAACAGGAGATAATACCATTACTGAAACAAAAAAGTTTTACAGAAGCAGCTTACACTACTACTCTAATAAGTCAACCTTTACAAACCCATGAATCAGGATTGTGCAGATGAATGCATTGTGTAGGCAGAGGAAGGATGTGCAGGTGACTGCTCTTTTAACTCTTTTTTCACATAAATGCATGAGGTTTCCAGTTGCAAAAACACACTGGTTAGACAGACAGTTAACTGAAGTAATTAAAACTACTAACTGAAATACTTGCCATAGAGTTCTGATGAATTGATAAGTATGGGATACTTCCATATTTTCATCTGATGTCCAGGAAGGCCATGTCCAGTCATCAGTTCGCTGGTTTTGGGTAACCAGAGCAAGGAACAAATCTATTGCAATTTAAAATTCTGCTTTAGTTTTCAGAAGGCATCAGCATACACTATTCAGTGGATCTGAAATGTTATCTAGAATGTTTAAACAAGCTACTGTGAAATAGTCACAGCAAAATATTTACTTATTTAGAAGGATCATTTAATTCCTTACAACACTTGGAAGTAAAGTTGCCTTATTGTCCTCTCTAAATGTGACAATTGTCTATCAGCATAATATGAAAGCACTTCCAACACATCCTCAGCTAAGCTGTAATAGCTCCAGGAAAATCAAGTTGTGCTCCTTTACGCCAGATGAAAATTTGTTCCTCTATCTCCTAATATTCAAACTCCAGAGACAGATGTTTGCCCTCTGACTCTTACACCTCTTCTCACCCCAGAACTCTGGGAACTTTCCCTCTTCCTTAACATTCTCTCCACATCAAGAATTTTGGCCAAAACTATTACTTCCAATGAGGAAAAGATTATGGGAAGTGTCTGGCTGCAAGACCACCTCCTCTTCAGTCACTTCTATGTGGAGACAGAAGTGGTGAATAAGAAACAACAAACTGCTTCTGAGTTTAATCACACGCTGCTGTGTCGAACATAGCACAGTTGCACATCCAGAGAAAATTCTGCTGTTCCTCTGACCACAGAACCACCCTCAAAGGCACTGGGAGTTTGCCAGAAGAGCACAGCTATACAAGAAGAGCATAGCCTAACTATGCAGACATTCCATCATTTCACCTGAGAATCTGTAGCTGCACTTTTGATTATTTTTTCACAATTAATGTCCCAGACACGCAAAATCCCATCTTTCATTCCACCTCCTGTAGCAAGGACTTTAGACTGCCAAGGACACCAGTTCATAGCCTAAAAAAAAAAAAAAAAAAAAAAAAAAAGAGACAAGGGAAGATACCAGAACAGACTAGACTAGGAGGTTAGCTGGAAAAACAGCAGTTTTTGCTTAAAAGCCTATTTGGAAAAATTAACTGCAACAAGCACCCAGAATGTACACACACAGCAATGTAGAATCCCAAAACTCAAAACACTGCTTCCCTTGCCATTGTTTTCACAGTAGTCTACACTGTCCTGCACATGCTCATAAAACTCCATCTTCTCTGCTTAAGTTCACAGGCCACAGACTCACACCTCAAAATTGGAAGAACCCAGCAGGATAGTCTTACTGCCTAAGCCATTGTAGAAGCCTAAGCACCACAATTTACAGGGCTTAAAAGAGACCTGGTTTCTTCTGAGATATTTTCAGGATATGCCTTACGGTTCGGACTCAGCCAAAGAAAACTAAGAACTCAATTCCACCTGTTTCAATAAACTCGTCTGACTCTTTAACCCCAGCACTTCAGGCCAGCATCAAACTCTTTCAGGAGGGTAAACAGCTTATAAATGCTGTACTCCTCTGCTTCTTTTTGCTAATACCTGTCTTCTCTCCCACACAGACTGGGACTTCATAAAGATGATGAATCTTTAATTGTCTCATATCCAGTTTACTACTTGAGATTGTTTCCTAGCAACAGTGACATGAAAATATGGGCAGGACACAAAACAAACTTCATATTTAAATTAATTGCAGCAGAGAGAATTTCCAAAAAATAAAAAAATTAGAAGATCTTGTTTATTAACTTTTAAGTATTGTGTCTCAAAACTTCTTTGTGCAAGGCAGAGAGATAGAGAATGATGTAAACTTTACTTCTGTTTGGCATTATATTTACAAAGGCCTAGTAATCCAGTAACATTTCCTAATCAAAGCCTAGCAAACTTATTTGTTACTTGGAATGAGGAGAACTGGTCTTAAAATTAACTGCATCACAGACAGAGAGAAGAAACTAACAAATATCAGTGAAATAATTTGAAAAATTACCTAACCATCCACATCAACAATGTGATTTCACAAGAGCAAATACAGAAAAACAGACACTCCTTCTCCATATACCTTAACTGCTGAGGAATGTGGTATGGTTTTCAGTGGCTGTGACTGCAATTTTACACCAGGGTCACTAGGCCAGATATTCAATATACCATCAATAGACCCACTTGCCAGCAACTGGTTGGTTAGTGACCATTTCAAGCTGCAAATGCTTTGTTTATTTTGGCAAAGAGTCCCAACATGGTGCTGAGCAACCCGAACATCATGGTGATGAATAGATCCTAGTCGTGAACCACTGTAGATGAGAAAAGACAGCATGGGTTTAATGTTAAAGAAGACAAGGTACATCATCACACTGATGTTTCTTCAACGGTTTCAGAAGCATATTGCATCAGAATGAAATGTGTCTGCAGAACAACAGTAATTTGGTAAAAGGAAACACAAACCAACTATCAAAAGCACACCCTGACTGAAGGGGTGACTGACAACAGAAAAGAGCCAAAGAACTGCTCAGTTCAAGCCAGGCAGAATACTTGTTGTCTCTTGTGGTTTTCATTTTCCTGAAGATACATTGCATTGTATGCCACTAATCTGCACCCTGTTCAGCTGTCAAGACATTTAATGTAAACTTTCCTATTCTTCATGAAAAATCATTTCACAAGAGGATTTTTGCCAAGGCTGGATATGCCTCCACACCCAATAGAGGCAGCGTAAAACTGCACTGCCCTAGAAAAGGGCTTACTAGCAACTAACTGTGTGTTCTTTGGTTCTGTCCCTTCCCTTCACTCCTTCCTCCCACTTCAAGGCTTAAAGAAAATCTGACACCGTTGCACTAATTACCTGTTAGGAAGTGAATGCATGGTTCTATAGCGAGCACCATCAGTTTACCAAACAAAGGAGGAAATACCCTGACCGGAAGCACAGCTACTACTACAGCTTAGCTCCCAGATACGGCATTACATCAACAGCAGATTTGAACTGAAAATACTGAAAATTTGCAGTGTTGCAAAATTGCAGTGCATTTTCTTTTCCTACTTTTTTTAAGGATATTACCTACATTAAACATGACAAAATAGAAGAGATTCCTGCTGGAAATTCATATTTCCAACTGTCATGACAACACTGAAAACATCAGCAAGTTCAATACCATCTTTCTGGGTATCTAAGAAACAGGTACCTGGCTATTACAGTAAACTAATTTAAGGCAATAATGACTGATGACTATTCTGTACTGGGTCTTAAAATTTTTTCAGATGCAGTTGAGTGATTTGGAAGCTCTAAAAATGCACACACAAAACTGACTGACTGCAAAAAATACCACTCTGTTGTGCTTGTGTTATGGACTTTCCAACTCTCTTGAAGCTGAAAAACCCATGAAAGATTGCAACCAAGCAGTGCTCAAGTGAGTATTAGGCACATCTTCACAGAAAATACCTATGAAAATACATGTGAATACATGCATTATATGCAAAGGCATCACCATTTGCCTCCCAAAGAGTTATATAGATTTTTTCTACTAAATAATGAGAAAACGTAACCCAGTGCCTTGTGCCTGGCTGAGATGAAGCTAGCTTTGCCATAGCAGCCCTCAATAATGCTGTACTGGTAGCTAGAAAGTTGTTGGTAATGCACAGTGAGCAGTGCACTACTGAGCAGTGCTCACTCAGCATCAAGGCTGTCTCTCCAACATTCCCCCTCTCACCAAGACCAGGGCTGGACAAGACCTTGGTTGGAGACACAGCCAGAACAGCTGACCCAAACTGACCAAAGGGATATTCAAACCATATGAAATCTGCTCAGCAATAAAGGTAAGAGTAAGGAGGAGGATTTGGATTATGATATTTATCTTCTGGAACATTCTTTATGGTACTGAAGCCCTACTTCCCAAGAAGTGGTTGGACATTGCCTGCTGATAGGAAGTAGAGAATAAATCTTATATTATCCTTTGTTTCTAAGCACAGCCTTTGCTATTTATTAAACTGCCTTTATCTTGACCCACAAGTTTATTTTCTACCCTCCCCCATCCAGCTGAGGAGGGGATTGATAGAGCATCTTGGTGGGTATTTGGTACACAGCCGAGCTCAACCCACAACACCAAAAGAAAGAAAACTGAATTGCCTGTGTTGGCCATGTGAAGGTTTTCAGTAATTCTAGTAGTGTTAAGTGGAAAGAAACAGGGCTCCTGAGAATCCTGGCTGAAAGGACATTTTTCCACTCAGCATAAAAAGAAATTGGAATTACTTGCTTTTAACACAGAAGATGGCATCTGCTTTGCTAAAGGCAAAGAGAAGAACCAAATAGTGTGGTGAGTTCATTTATGGTACTGAAATTTATTTACAGGTCATGATGATGCATTGTTGGACTATTTTAACCACAGGAATTAGTAGGTAATCCCAAATTATCAATTGTCCACAGTGACAATTTACTGTAACAATGCTGCTCTTATTTTATTAGCAATGAATATTAGCCATACATCTTTTTTTCTACTTACACAGATATTTTAACTCTGTTCTAATGTTAGAATGAACTGGTTAGCTTCAAACCTAGCAAAACAAATAAACATTATCTCAACCTAATTTGTCAAGTTCACAGGTTCATGCTGAATTTTATTACTAGTTCCTACTCAGAGGGATCTGTAATTTAAGTTTGTATTGTTTTCACTTCTTTGGCCAGGGTGAAATGCAAACTGAAACTAATGCTTTCTATAACAAGGTTACATCAGATGACACTGTCAGGATACTACGGCTGCATCCTTGTAACTTAACCCACCCAGCATACCTCTTCCAGCAACAGCATTTTATTAACTGGCGTTCAGCTGGTAACCTTGTACCTCATTCCACCTACCAGACCTAACACAATTAAAACCAGAGCATACTGTAAAACCAAACCAAAACTACCACTAGTGTTCCTACCCAGAGATACTAGTTTCACTCTAACAAAGTCAGTCCACCCTTGATATTATTTCTTCATCTAAGTAAAACAGAAGACTATTCTATGATTTTAAAATTGTAGAGGCATCCAACATAGACAAGTCTCGCCTCAGCCCCTTCAAATCAAAGATCTGAAAGTGGAAGCAAAAAAACACAAAAGAGCACACTTGATCTTTCTCATCAGAGTCCCCTTATTGAAATGATCCCTAAATATATACCAGCTAGTATAAAATTCACCCTTGGCAAAGCAAAAGTCAAGCACTTCAAACCTCCTGGGTAGCAGTGAGATGGCTTTCTCTTGTAGATACACATCTAAAGAGGTGTGCAACTGTTAGCAGCTGTGTTTCAGTGGGCATCTCAAAAGACAGATGCAGTCTTGGTATCAGTGGCAGGGCAGTCTAAACTACATGCCCCCTGCCCAGCACTGGGCAGGCTATAATTTTGGGAGTCCAGACCAAATGGAGACACCATCTCAATCTGAGGCTTTGCACAAACGCAAAGCCTAGCAATATTCTGCAAGTGGTGACATTTTTCTGGAAGGAAAGCAAGAAACAGAGACTAAAGAGGCAGGCTAAATCCCCTTTGGCTGCTTTCCTACATACAATAAATCTACATATGATTTCTGAGATGGCTGATAAGTAGAGAGACAGAATAAAACACTTTTGAGCAAAGCCAAGGAAAACAGCCAAAATGAATAGGAGATTTGTGTAAGTAAAAGCAGCAGTGCTGTTTCTGTGAATATACTATACCACTCACCTGCTCAGAATATAATGATTCCAGCTCAGAGCTCCAACCACCGACAGGTGACCAAACATATTTCTCAACCTCTTTTTGGTTTCAATGTCCCACAGCTGCCAATCCAAAACAAGAAATTCAAATTTAACAACAAAAAGAAAAAAATTTTTGTTCTGTTAATTTTTTTGCAAGTAAGCTACTGACCAGTTCTGATTCAGAATATGGACAATCTCAAGCTCATTTATTTCACAAGTAAGGAGTACTTCCAAATTTTGGCACCTATATCAGTGATGCTGAAGTCAGACAGGATTGAAAGGAATGCATGTCTCTGAGTTCAAAGCTGTTTCTTAACATATCAGTATTTGGAAGTCCATACTTGAAAGCACCAGTCTTCAGTTCTTTCAGATTGCTGACTCAGGACTGCAGCAGGTAGGTCCTCATATCATCTAGCATCTCAGCCAAAGTGCCCCAAAAATCTTTTAACAATAGGACTGCCCTATAACAGCAGGCTCAGACATATGTGTATAATCAGATTAAAGGCAAATTCTCATACATGAATCTGTAAGGAAAAGTTTGGATTGAGATCTCAAGGCATCGATCACTACAGTGAATTTAGCAAGAGAGACCCAAGAAAAAATAGGCTGTGCTGAGTAAAATAATTTAATAGAGTTCCTCTTACTAGTGGCAAGAAAAAAAAAAAAAAAATCTGATTGTCTTTGGGCAACTGAATCATTAATTTGGTCATCAGCAATTTAGTGGCTTCAGAAGCTCCCCTACGTACAGATAACGCTGGATAACTCAGTCCTTCAGTAAAGTACTATATATTGCACAGGGAGTGCTATATATTGTCTCAGGCAGAGTTCTTCTATAGTTTAGCCCATCTTTTTTATTTTTTCCACTTAAAAAAAAAATAACAAAACACCACAGTATCAAACTGTCTTGTGACCACTTTGGCTAAAAATGGAGAAAGACTAAAAAAGGAAATTATTTAGTACTTGCACTTCTCCATCACTGGTGCCAATTGCAAGGCAAGTTCCCTCTGTTATCCAAGCTAGAGAGGAAATGTATTTGGAACTGGAATTCAAATCAATGCTTCCAATGGCTTGAAGAGTTCCTCCATTCCAGATGTGTGCAGCAGGTCCTACAGCAATAGCAATGAGATTTTCAAGGCTCCAGTCCAGTATGTTTAGATCTAGAAGAAAGCTACAAAGAATTACTGCCAAAAGTTGTAGGTAATAGGATGGAGACAGAGGAAGTATGGTTTGGGGAAGAGAAGCCTATTTTTTCTTTTTAATTAGCTATGGAAAAATAGCAAGAGAATGTTTCTATGAAAACACTACTTACAAGTATTCCTCCTACATGAAGGAAAGTCTCTCTAACAAGCCAAGGTCTTCGTAAGTCTAACCTCAACAAATCATATGTTTGTATAGCAGGATCTGACTTACAGCTTTCCCAATATAGTTTTTTAACCTCTCATCCTGGTATTTTGGATCACCACATCATTCACTCAAATTTCTGCTACCAGAAATGTGGGTCCTCCACCAACAGCTACAGTTCCCAAAACACCCTCCCTCCGAAGTAATTCTTGTTATTGAGGAAGACACAGGATAAAGTCTATATGCTACAGTCTGTCCTATATCCTGAGGTTAATAACATTTACCCTGCACACAACAGGGAAGAAAAAATGCAGAAAGGAATTAGACAAATTCTGCTCCTCACCTTCAGAGCTTACTCAGCAAGTGTATAATAGAAATACTGTTTCAGCTGCCCCTGATGCTAGGTACACTGCACTTGCAGATCCTGGCAAAGCAAGTCATTAGTCATTGGTGATTAGCCTTACAACATCCTGCTATGGCACGTATGACAGAAGTTGGTATAAAACACTTAATATTAATCCAGTACATTTGTATATGTCAAGGGAAATCCTCATCTGTGCACTCAGGACAGCTGAAAATATATCCTGCATGACACCTGAAGCACAGAAGACTTTTACCACAGGCCAAGATATGACATCATATATTGGAAACTAAAATCACTTTGAAGAAACAGTTGAATATACCAGTCAGCTGTTTGTTGCAGTCCTGGTTGTTGCAGCCAAAAATCACTTCCAAGATTTCTGTTACTGCAGTTAGCCTTGGAGCATTCTTTGTGCACAACCAGTGTAAATCATACAAACAAACCTTTGTCCTGTCCATAGACACACATGAGCATTTGCAAAGATATGTTGAAAAAAATCTCCAAAGGGACAATTAGAATACTTTCACAGAGTTGCTCATTAGATGTTATTAGATATTAAAACATGTATTTGCTGCTGTAGACTGGAGCTCCATTTGTGTTCAAGTGTAACTTGAGTATGTTTAATGTTTTGCTTGTGCACCACCAAAGACATAAGAGAAAATTTAGTTCAGAAGGTATCTATCATCCAAACTACAATGGCACTGATACCTCCCAGATCAAGAGATGTTGAAGTCTGGTCAATAAAGCTGTTGTTGCGTTGACAGGCTGCTAGACATCCAAAGCTGATAGCTGAAATGTTTAACTTAATTAAGCAGAAGTAAGTATACTGGGTTGACCTGAAAGTTGTATTGAGATCAACAACCAAAAGAAACTGCATGAGAGGCAATACTCATTCTAGGGTTTGATCAGTAAGTCTACATCCTGGGACAAGCAGTTTTCAAAGATGCATCCTTGTAAGATAAATGACACCATGCGCATGTCCCGCAGCTTCCATTTTATGTGAAGCAGACACACCCTCGCCATCCTTCTTGAAACACACATAAGAATTCCCAATCTCTGCAAAAAACACCACAAAGAAGAAATTAACTTACAGTAATCATTGCGCAAGCCAGTAATATGAAGCCTCACTTCTAGCTCCATTGGTACAGAAAGCTTCATCTTGGTAACAGCTCTAAACTCATTTTGGTTCCCCTCTCGGCACCCTGTATTTCATCACACACAGATCAGTAATGCAAAACACCACCAGTTTTTCTCAGGCCTAAGCCTTTCATTGTAGTTTTACATCCTCTTTCAATCCTTCATGGATTTTGTCAGCTAGAACAGAACATAGGGTCCATTATATTTTGCTTAAATTCTACCACAGCTCAATACAGAATGTGAGGGGTTTTGTCTTTTTTGCCTTAGTTTTCTGTCAAAGTTGTTAGCAGCAGAATCTTTTATATGTGCTCTCCCACTTCAAAACGCCCTCATTACAGCAATTAGCTTTTTTGCTTTCTGATGTTAATTTCTCACCAAAAGGTCTCCCTCATCAACACATAACCAAAGGAAAAGGTTGTTAAAGCACATGACGTTGATCACAGCACACAAAGCTTGTGACAACACATATGCGAGAAACAAGAGCAAATACAAGTATAAGCAAGCGGAAGAGTCACCCTCTGTAGTCTTGATGCAGGGACTCCTAAACATCACACTAAAAAAAGACAGATCATTAGTACTATGAATCATCTAATGTCAGATTTTTATGTGTAAGAAATTACCTTGCAGTAACGTGCAGAGCAGAAAGCTGGAGATTCACATTTCTGTTCTTTTCTCTGCACTTTGATTTCCTTTTTGAATTATTCTCCAGAAAGGAATATTTAGTATCAAAAGTTCCACAGTCAGAGGACATTATTTATCTTTACAAGTAACTTCTGTTCAAAAAAATTCCTCACTGTAAACGTAACTTAAACACATACATAAACATCCTATATGGAAATCCAGTGACAAATTGTGGAGAGCTTATTTCACACAGCTCTTCCCTACTCTGTCACGAGTCTTCCCCCCAATCCAAAATTCATTTCTGCCAGACAACAAATGTTTCCCTTCTCAGCTGTGGTACCCCCTCTCTCTCCAAATAACAAATAAAGACTGAAAATAAGCAAGAAGCAGGCCACACTGATTTTCTTCTGTATCTAAAATTTTGTGCAGTGAAACAATCAAGCAGACTTGCAGGAACAACATGCCCAGTGGGACATGTAACACTGCATTCTAACTGTAAAAAGGTCCAGAATTCTCTGTACAAAAAAATCTGTATTTCTAATACCTAGATTTTTGGTTATTTTTTGAAAACTGTACCAAAACTTTCTGAACCCAGCCACGTAAGATAATTCAGGAAAATTAAAGCACTTAATTGTAACAGCTTCAATAGCAGCACTTCTGAAACACTCTGAAAACCTGTTTCTTCTTTAACACTGGTAGTTGTTATTGAGAATTGAGATATAAAGGATGAAATCACCCCTGTTACTCATTTCAAGTCACTCTTCTCTCATGAGTAATTCATCTACCCAAATTCATACTGATTACTCTTTCAGCTCATTCACTACTTCAGACACACGAATGTGCATAACAGGCTTTTTAATTAGTGCAAATTGAGTTTCATTACACCATTTTGTGTTACTTTGCCTGGGCACAGATATCACTGACTTTTAATAGGATTTTGGCTTTCACATGCCTCTCTCACTTCTGAAAATGAGACCTGGGAAATGGTAAGTAGTCAGTACTGCCACACCAGACCACCTGATCAACAAGTAGGCTGGTGGGATAAAGCCCAGTATTCCTGATACCTGTATACATTTGCCATAAAAGAAAACAAAACAAAAACCACTGTGACTAATCCCTATACTGTTGCTATTGACTGCTCTGAAATTATTTGCATGAAGAACAGAATATATAAATCTATCATGTAGCCCCCAACTTCTTCTACAAGAGCTGAACTACAGATTAATAAAGAAGCTGGTTATACCGTTTTCATCTAAGCATGAATCAGGCCCTGACTGCTAAGAACCCATCATACACAGAAATAGCCAGATTACCAAATCAAATCTTATGTCCAAGACAGAGCACAACAAAATATTGGTTTGATATTTAATGAACTGCCTCACATTCAAATAACTCTGGAAATATCCATATTATTTCACAGGTTAGCTCCTCACACCCCACCTTATTTTCCATCACCTGATCATTCACACTCTCTTGCACTCATTCATTCCTGATAAACCTTTTGGACCAAATTAATCACTCCCCAACACATTAAACCACAGGCAGTGCAGTTTACTCTACCTATCTTTCCTTACAGGTAGGAGAAACAAGACCCCACCATCTCTGCATGTCTTGCACTTTCATGTACTCAACAGTCCATGAAATACATACCCTGTACTCATACTGCAGCACAACCCTACATTATCTGTAGGGTTCTGAAACTGAAAAGCTAGAAGAAAATTAATGTTTTAAGCAAGCAATGCTTAAATTAGATGGAGCCCAAAGGAGAACCAGGTAAAATACTAGCAGTTAACCATGCTGTAAGAAGTTCCCACAGGCAGGGCAACTCTAGAAATAGCCCTGAGCAGCCCAGCACAGATTTCAGCCACTTTGTATTATCCTGTAACATTTGTTGGAACAGCATGAACTTGCTTTTCCTGTGTAGACACAGCCTGCTGTTATCTTACTGTTCAGTATGCACTAACGCATTTGCTATAATGGAACATACCTTTCCAGGTGCAATTGGTCTTTTCACAGACCTTCATGTCACCTCTTTCTGAAATGCTATATCCAACATCTTGGACCACTGGAAGATGGGAAGGACGTTTCTGTCAATGCAATGAAAAGAAAACATGATCAAATTCAGAAATCTGTTAAAAACGTATTTTAGCATAATGGACAACATAAATCTCCTCAAAGAGTTCAACACTTCTTACAAAAAGCTTTGAAATGCTTGTCTTTTGGATGGACAATCAGTAACAAATACAGAATACCACTGTCCAAATCATGTGCTCTAACTTGAACCACCATCTTTCCTCCCATAAAACACCAATTCACTGCTAATGATCACACAAACTTTAACAAACCTGTCTGAACAAGGCCATCTGAACAGTGGAAGAGTCTCAGGCCTGTACGCCTGTAGGTACTACCACAGGTCACCTGCCAAACCTTAGTGTCCTCTTGTCCTCTTCTGAGTTAGCATTTGAGCTAATTTTACCAGCAAACAATACCATGTTTTCTGCATGCAGTCAGTATGCGGAAGACGACTCAGGCTGGCTCTATGAGGGAAGACTGGGTTTGTGGTGTACACACTGCAGGGCCATTAATTCTAGTATGAGACCTACTGGATGTCAGAGTCATTTCTCAAATCAGGGTCCCTGAGCATGGACTCTATGATCCCATTACTTAAATCAGTATTCCAATATGAAAATGAACATATCTACAAGATGTCTCATCATTTCCTGGGGTGTCAAAAGAAACAGATGACGCAGCAGAGATGAGAAAAGATAGATCTGAACTGTTACTGGAACTATTTTTTTTTTTAATTAGGTTAGGCCTTTAGGCAAGATTCAGGCAAAGGCTCAGATCAGCTAGCACAAGATACGAATCTCTTCACCAATCCCTAACAGTATGCATTTCTTCACAATGTGCACCAAGTTGAATGCTTTGATGGCAGTTGTCTGTTTGGTGTGTAATTCTTTATTACAGTCAGATGGAAATGCAGCTGATGCTTTCACCGACCACTTAAGATTAGTATGGTCTTCCTCCAATGCCTGTGAAATCTATGCTTCCAAGCATATTCAGCATTACTCTTCTTCAAAACCCTGTTGCAATCATGATAAGAAATGTCTTAGAAAAACACAGCCAGAAAAAAAGTGTTCCCCCCTTTATATATCCCACTTGTTATACAGCAGGCCTTCAGCTTTGAGAGGCACTTTCTGTATAATTTATATAGACAACTTGAATTGCTGAGGTGAGTAGCTCGAGAGAAGACGCCTTCAACACCGGAGCGGGCGGAGATCAGCGTCCAGGAGCCTCAACTCAGAGCGCCAAGGGCCATCGAGGGAGCCTCAAGTCCTCGACGGGACCTGCCCAGGAGCCGGCAGCTCAGCTGACGAGAGCCAGCAGGGACTCACAGCGGGCGGAGCCTGGAGCAGCAGCACCAGCCCTGAGTGGGTAAAAACCTGCCCCAGGGAGAGCGGCGAACAGAGCGGGTCGGGGCAGTTTGCGCGGGCAGGCGGGCGGGACGGTGAGCGCTCGGCGTATGAGCAGGGCCCGGTCCGGGAGCTCTGCTCTGGCTGCCCCGGCGGTGGCAGCGTAGGCACCCAGACAGAGCCGATGGGAGGGGAGGCTGCAGTGCAGAGCTCGGGGTGTAGAGGGTGCCTGCACTGGTCTGGTGAGGGGAGGGTGCACAATGGGCAGGGCTGCACTCGGTGCTCCCTGGTGGAGGTCCTCCTGCAGCAGGGGCTGAGCTGCGGGACGCTGTCAGTAGGCTGCGAGATGTCAGGGAAGCTGAGAGGAAGCAGGAATGCTTGCTCCTGGCCCAAACTGGGCAGGGGCCTCAAGCTTCACCTCTACCTCATGAAGGAAAGAAGGAGGCCTTTAACTTGGGAAGCTGGGAATTAGTGACAAAAAAAAAAAAAAACAAGAAAAAAAAAGAAGGAAAAGGACAACCAAAAGCAAGGGGCTTCCCCCTAAACCCCCTGTCCCCACGCAGAACTGCTTTGCTGTTCTGCAGGGGGCTAATGAGGAAGCGCACGCGAGCCAGAAACAGCCAGGCTGATGCACTGCTAAAGAAGATCTCTGCTGGTGCTGCTAGGAAAAAGCAGCGGGTCGTAGTAGTAGGGGACTCTACACTGAAAGGGACAAGCACTTGTCTGCCGGCCAGACCCCATCTCAAGGGAGGTGTGTTGCCTACCAGGGGCATGGATCAGGGATGTGGCATGGAGGCTGCCTGCTCTAGGAAGTCCCACGGACTATTACCCACTCCTGGTGATACATGTAGGTGCTAGGGATATAGATAGTAGTAGCCTGGGGAACATAAAGAAGGACTACAGAGCCCTGGGGGAGGTGGTTAGGGGCTCTGGAGCTCAGGTGGTCTTTTCATCAATTCTCCAGGGTACAGGGGAGGACCTAAAAAAACCTAGGAGGATTGGCCAGGTTAATAACTGGTTAAAAGGGTGGTGTCATAGTCAGGGGTTTGGGTGTCTTGAACACGGGACCCAAGTTTGTAGGCCAGGTCTAGTGGGGGCTGGTGGAGCTGGTCTGATAAAGAAGGGAAAGAGCGGTTTTGGTAGGAGGCTTGCCAGACTGGTCAAGGAGGCTTTAAACTAGATGTGTTGGGGGAGGGGGGCATCATTCCATCCCAACACACCCAGTCAGTTGCCAGAACCTATAATAAATGCTTGGAGCAATGTAGAGATAACTTGGCAGAAAGCTAGTCAGATAGTTTGGATCTGTGTCCCTCTGAAATAAGTGAAGACATTTCTGTGGAAAACCGATTGTGTATACATGGAAGTAATCTTTTGTCCCACAGGGAGACCACACACATTCACTGGAATGTGGGAAGACTTCATTTTCAATGCATCCCATCCTTTAATGCTTCAAGGCAGAACAAATTAAATAGTCACCAATTACTGTGTCTAAGTAGATTAATAGATTTGGACTGACTTCCAAGTGGTGTTAGGAAGAACTTGAGATTTGGTCATCCCACAATGTTACCCCAAAGACCCCCAAATCACACTTTTAAGGAAATGGTTGCGGACCTTCATGCAGAAGTTGAATATCTTAGGTCTAACTCAACTCCTGCTTGTAAATCACAGGTAAGTGACTAGGTAAGTAACTTCATTGTAGAGGTGAAACAATGACTTGTGGAAGACTGACATACAATACTTACTGGGATCAGTATAGTTTAGTATCTTCATCAATGACATAGACAGTGAGATCAAGTGCACCATCTGCAAGTTTGCAGACAACACCAAGCTGAGTGGTGACGTTGACACGCCTGAGGGATGACATGCCATTCCAAGGGAGCTGAACAAGCTTGAGAAGTGAATCTCATGATGTTCAACAACGCCAAAGTGCAAGGTCCTGCAGCTGGGTCAGGGCAACCCCTAGTATCAATACCAGCTGGGGGATGAAGAGATTAAGAGCAGCCCTGTGAAGAAGGACTTGGAGGTACTGGTGGATGGAAAAACTGGACTAGAGAAAAGAAGGCTCTGGGGAGATTTTATTGTGGCCTTTCCATACTTGAAGGGGGCTTGTAAGAAAGATGAGGGCAGATTTTTAGTAGGGCCTGAGCAAACAGGACAAGGAAAGAGGGTAGATTCAATACAGATTCAATTCAATATAAGGAAGACATTTTTGGGGATAAAAAAATTGTGGTGAAACAATGGAATAAGTTTCCCAGAGAGGCTGTAAATGCCCCATCCTGGGAAAGAAGGGACTCTGAGCAATCTAGTTGGAGAGGTCCCTTCTCATTGTAGGGGGGGGGTGGTTTACAGAACTTTTTAAGGTCCCTTCCAACCTAAAACATTTTATGACTAAGAGCGAGGACAATGACATGTACTCGTCTTTCAGAAGACACTACATTTTAAGGCAGAATGGTTTACATACATTATAGTAAGTTCTTATCTCACAAAAAAAAAAAAAATTACTAAATTTCTCTGTCGGATAGATTCAACTAAGATTATTAAACCATTGAGTTGTTTAATAAAACAATTCTGAAATTCATAGACCATGAAGGGGGACAGGAAAGAAGAAAGCATTGTTGTTGGAAGGATTTGAAAACAGCTATCAGCATCCTCAGTAGTGACCACGTAACCGGTACAGTCAAGGAAAGGAGAGCACAAGAAGAAGCGTGGTCACTGACTAAAAGTTTGCAACAATTAGCACTAAAAGAAAGAAGTGGTTTAGAGTGTAATGTTATGGTAGCAACTTTTACTAATACAGGCAAGCATCACCATGCTACACATGAACAGAAAATTTTCAGTAAGTGAACAGAAAGAGGTGAGTGGCTGGAGAGTAGTTTATTTAAGATGACCAAAAAGCAACAGATTTTATCTAAAGAAAAAAAAATGCTATGCGAGTGTCTACTAGGAAAACTGAAGGGATAAAGTCTACAGCCACAGAAAATAACACCTACATGAGAAATTATCTGAAGCTTGTTTCACATGTTAGGCAAATTCCACGTGTTCTTTTATCCTTGGCCACGATGCTGACCTTCTATTGTAATGACAAAAAATTTCTTTTGAAAAATAAAATCAAAAATTACTTTTTTGCAAATTTTTCATAGCACTTCATTCTGTCTTCATGACAAAACGAACAGCTACATACTGCAAAATTGAAGAAATTATCTTCTTCGCACAGAATGGTTATTAAGGCAAGTGGAAAACTGAGTCATTCATGCGTGTTTTTTACAATACACTTTTTCCCCCAGAGGTAACAAATGAATCTTGAGGGGTTCATTAGCTTAGTTCTGATTTTAATTTACAGGACAATAACCTGGAGGAAGGGAAGAGAAGCTGAATCAAATAAATAATGAAAGAATTGCTCCTGACATTCATCTAGGAGACATTTCCTAAATGGACCTCCTAATGTTACTGTTCTCCATGTCAGTAAGATAGTACCCACATAACAGATTCCAGGCCCACAATAAGATTGAAAAAAAATAAGGAAAGCAAATACCCTACTTGTGCATTTCAGTGTTGCACTACTCACCTGCTTCTTTTCCATTCCAGCTCTCCTGATATTCCTCCCTTCCAAGCCTGCTGCAGCATGTTGGCTAGCTAGAGTCACAACAGTTTTTATGCTGGAGAGTTCCTTAGGCAGCTGAGATGTCACTGGAAAAAAACAATTTTAATAGTAACAATTCCTTTTAAAGCCATATACAGGGATATTTGTCAAGTACTTTTCAGAATAACACTGATTTTGTAGTACAAGTACTCTAAATGCAGATCTGATACACTAAGTCAGAAAATGCAAATACTGACAACTGAACCAGTTAGCCTGCTTTCTTTTTGTCAGTGAAGTTAAAGAGACATTTCTACAGCACTATTAATTTTATCCTAAAAGAGTTGTCTAAAGAAGGTCAGATTGATCATTCCCTTCATAAAAAGGGTCTGTTTACTACTGCAGCTCACATCCAGTATTAGATTTATTGACTTGTTACACAGGATCCTACCCCATAGGAAATCAATATCCAATTTCCCATAGCCATATAGGCTTTTACCATTGCTTGTACAGACAGCATGCAGGACTTTCAGTTCTAGAAACTGAAGCAGGGAAGACTTCACCTTATTTTAGAACCTGAGTTTCATATAGTTAGGCATGTATTATTAAACAGCTCTAGTATTCTGCTTAGCAGAAGACAGAATTGCACTTTCTGCCCAACACCCATGGCATTGTAGGTATACATTCTGAACACTAAACAGCATCTTTTATTTGCTGCCTACAGATTTTAATTATTAATCAAGAAATAAACCATCTTTAGTTCCTCAGACCTTTCTGGAAGCTCTTCTCATACATGCAGCATTTAAACCTTTCCCCACTTTTCCTAAGCACTGCTTGAAAGTAGGAGTCAGTGAGTTCAAAGGCTCATTCAACTTTTCATCAGCTCCCTCTGTTAACAGAAACAGCCTCCCCTTCAGTCACTTTTTCTCCAGACCAAGTGAGAGTACTGAAAGTTTGACCTGTGCTCTGAACAGCCCTCAGATTAAGTCTCTCCATGAGGGGAGCTGAGTGTGGGCATCACTTGGTTACTGTCCCTTCAGTAGCTGAAGCTTTACACTTTGAAGGAGAGACAATAACAAGAGCAAACTTCTCCGTAAGAAAGTGTACACTACACACACCAGGCATGGACATTGATCCCAGTCCTGCAGTTTTGGCCGAGTCTGTGGTAGCTGTGTATAAGGCAAAGGAGAAGCGGAAGGAAGGGAAGGACAAAGGCCAGTATGAATTCTGCTGCTCTCCTGTCACTTACTGTTAACTATTGCAGATATGAAGGTGCAACAACAAGCCCTGTGCAGTTACAGCCCAGTGCAACTTAAACCAAGTCTAATACAGCCCCATCCCAGAGGAACAAAAGTCTGGTCTGGAACAGGCATTGCTTGGCTAGGGATAAGACTTCCTTTTCTTTCATTGCTTTCACCCCCCCTTGATACCAGCTGCCCATAGGACCCACTGTCCCATGCTGGCTGTGCACTGGTCACAGAAACATTGGGCCCAGCTTTCCTGTCACAACAGCAGTGCACTCGTCTCCCTAATGCTAATGCAAGCTCTGCCTGTGAAGGCCAGCACAGGCTGCTGCCCAGCACATGCAAGCTGCCATAGCCAGAGCCCGACAGTGGGACACGGGGAACACCGCACGCCTCACACCAATGCCCCACACCGAGTTATCTCCGAAGTCCCTGCGTGAGGCCATCCCCTACGGGAAGGCTCCGTCGCGGCCGGTCTGACCTGCCGTGGTCCCCGGGGCGCTGGTGAGCCGGTTCGCGCGGCGGGAGCCGGCAGCGCCTCCAGCGTGCCGCTGCTGCCATCTTGTGACAAGGGGGCTGCTGGCAGCGGAAGCCCGGGCCGCCAGCTTTCTCCTCATGGCGTTCTTAAACCCGGAGTACGTGGTCCCTTTGGCCACTGGGTCCTGCACAAGCGGAAGGAGACGAAACACAGAAATTTGTCATGACTTAATATCATTCCGTCCCTTCACGCTGTGTCAGGTTTTCCTTTACCGCGGCAGGTGGGCTCTGGTCACCACAGAGCACAAGCCATAGAAATGGATGCTGGCACTCCATCACCTAGATGGAGAAAACCAGAAAGAAATACATGTTTCTGGATTAATAAGTACCCTGAATCAACTCGAACACAGAAAACCTGTGGCAGAGAAAAAAAAAAAAATCAATGACTGAATTTGTGTTACTTACACAGCAGGCTACAGCACTGGCCTGTGAAAGACCCAAGGCCTCTTCAGACATTTAGCATAGGCTCATAGACCTGGTCTTTGCTGAGAAACGGGCAATTGGGCAAACCCACATGTTGGCTGTCTGGAACCAGACTGGTTTTCTGATCCTCACCCAAAGGAGGACTTCAGTCTCTCCTGATTTCTGAATCTTACCTCCACTGTGACTTGATCATGTTACTGTTTTTAATGTTATCTGATAGGTTTTAATACATTAAGGCATACTAAATAAATATTAAATGACAGATTTAAATACCATAAACTCACAGAAAGGTTAGGGTTGGAAAGGACCTTAAAATCATCTGGTTCCAGCCCCCTGCTGGGGAGGCAGGGACATCACACACTAGAGCAGGTTGCTCAAAGCCTTGAACACTGCCAGGGATGGGGCAGCCACAGCTTCTCTCGGCAACCTGTGCCAGTGCTTCAGCACCCTCACAGGGAAGAACTTCTTCCTTATACTTAACCTGAACTTCCCTGTTTAAGTTTTAACCAGTTACCCCTTGTCCTATCACTACAGTCCCTAATGAAGAGTCCCTCCCCCGCATCCCTATAGGCGCCCTTCAGATACTGGAAGGCTGCTATGAGGTCTCCACGCAGCCTTCTCTTCTCCAGGCTGAACAGCCCCAACTTTCTCAGCCTGTCTTCATACGGGAGGTGCTTCAGGCCCTGATCATCCTCGTGGCCCTCCTCTGGACTTGTTCCAACAGTTCCATGTCCTTTGTTGAGGACACCAGAACTGCACACAATACTCCAGGTGAGGTCTCACAAGAGCAGAGTAAAGGGGCAGGATCACCTCCTTTGACCTGCTGGTCACACTCCTTTTGATGCAGCCCAGGATACAGTTGGCTTTCTGGGCTGCGAGCGCACGCTGAAGCTGGCTCATGTTCAGTTTCTCATTGACCAACACCCTCAAGTCCTTCTCCACAGGGCTGCTCTGAATCTCTTCTCCACCCAGCCTGTAGTTGTGGATTGTCCCGATTTGTGTGTAGTACCTTGCACTTGGCTTGGTTGAACTACATGAGGTTTGCATGGGCCCACTTTTCAAGCATGTCCAGGTCCCTCTGGAGACCATGGTCCCTCTGGAATCCCTCCCTTCTTACTTTCAAATTTATTCATAGAGCAATTTGTGTCAGAGAAATATAAAACATAATAAACATATAAAACATAAGAATATATAAAAATTTGAAATTTAAGAAGCTAGGTAATATTGAACACAATATTTTGGTTTTTTTAGACAGTTCTAAAGCAATGTTTTAGGTGAAAATAACTACAGTAAGGAAGCATGGTAAGTATAATAGGCTTCATTATTAGGTAGTATTAGGATCATTGTTAGGTACTCCAATAAGTATTTATAATAGATAAAGTCCTTTTTAACCACTGAAATAATATTAGATGGCAATTACAAGCTGTTGAGACAGACACCAGAATCTTGCATGGGTTTTCTGAAATTAAACACATTCAAACTTGCTTTTCAAGTCAGCATGCAAGGAAGACAAAACAAAATCTTGAAAGCTGAGAGGAAGAAAGGAAATAGCAAATGAACAGAAAGAAAACGGGAAGAACTGAGTAAGGGAAGACATGAAGACAGAATATTTTTTTTCCCATAACTTGTTTGTTGTAACCACTACATGTTGATCTACCATCAGAAACTAAGGTCAACAGGCAAACATCTTTAACATGTACAATAAATGAAGACAGACAGAACACCAGACTTGGCTCTGAAGTTCAGAGTGTCTTTCACAATTGCATCAGCAGAACACCACTGGAGCTGTCTAGCTTATCATTGAAATTCTCAGCTAACTTATGCTTCTCTCGTGCAGACCTTCAGTCTTTTCATCTCAGCACAGCTAGTTGCCACTTATCCAGAACCAATAAGAAAAGCAACCTGTGTTCCATCATCACTCACACACACACCCTCCATTCAAAACCAAACAAACAGAAAACATCTTACTATCTTCTTATGCCAGCACATCAGCAAGGAGGTTTTCTTTGCTTGATGTACTGTAGAAAAGCTTTACAGGTGGTCCCCAAGCTCCTTGTCCAGGTCTCTCTGATAGCTGCTGAACCGCTCTGCCAGGGACACCCAAGGGGCCCAGGGGTTGCACTGGAGCTGAACTACAAACCAAGAGGTACCAGCAACTCTCAAGACAGCGTGTGGCAGACCAACATCAGTTTCCCACACAGATCAGTTAAACAGAGCACTCAGCATCCTTAGGTGATAGGAATACACTTATCTTTCATTTTGGCTTTGGATTTTATTTTTCTGCCCAGAGAGATTTCTGTTCTTTCCCCAGGAGCTCTGAAGCCCAGCAGAGGCACTGTGATACGAACCAGCTGCTGCTGCAACACAAGCAGCTTGCTCTTCCCAATCCAAACTGCGAGTTTCATATTTCAGCTCCTCCTTCGCATTCCAGGCCTGCCCAGGCTCCTCTCCAAAGATTCTGAAAATGGAGCCTCTCGCAACTACTTATCCTCTGAAATACTCAGTGCCCAAAGCCAGAGTCTTTGTTGTCTTTCTGTCAATGGTTTTGTGTACCGCCATTCTCTGCCTGCTGCAATTCAGATTTTTTAAAGCTAAAACCAAAGATTTTTATTCTTTCGAAGTCAAGGATTCACGAGGAAGGATCATTTCCTTGGAGAAGTACAGAGGGAAAGTAAGTTACGACTTTATTACATCTTCTTCTTGAATCTTTACTGAAAACGGGTATCCATTTGTAGGTAAACAAAAGTTTGGTCATGGGAAGTTTCAGCAAAGATTTGTGCTAAATTCCTGTTCTTCAAACAGTTACCTGGTAAGAATTTTTTTTGTTTTTTGTTTAGGACTGCTCCAGGAATTAAGCATTAGATGTAATAAGTCAAGAAAAATGGGGGAGTGGAGTGGTGTATTCTTTATTACAACTCAGTATAGCCTAACAATACAATTTGTGCGTTTTAACCTTGGTTAAGAATAGTAGCATGTTGTATCGAATTCTGAAAATTTATCTAGTAAATATGATTCTAGTGCCTGCCTTAAATATCTGCTTTTTTACATGCTTATATTAAAACAAAGCTGTAGGTTGAAGTTTTTATTGAATTTTTTAAAAAAAATCTATCATCCTTACCAGTTTACTGAAATTACGATCAGACATACTGATACAGCTTTCTGGCAGGAACGATTATGTTAGTGGGAGATGCCATTTTAAAACTTAATTGTATCTCTACACAATCTCTAGGATTTTTTCTTACTCTTGTAACTTTATTTCTCTAAAGGCAACTTTGGTTGTAAACGTGGCCAGTTACTGCCAGCACACAGACAAAAATTACATCGCACTGCAAGAACTACACAGAGAGTTTGGCCCCTCCCACTTCACGGTGCTGGCTTTTCCCTGCAACCAGTTCGGAGAATCAGAGCCTAGTTCAAGCCAGGAAATAGAGTCTTTTGCCAAAGGAAACTACGGAGTAACTTTCCCTGTTTTCCACAAAATCAAGATCCTAGGATCAGAAGCAGAGCCCGCGTTTAAATTTCTAATAGGTAACTGTTTTCTTTTATATATCAAGCATCCTGTAACCATGGTGTTCTCAAAAAAATTGTAGTCTGAGTTTGTTTGTTGGGAAACATCGTAGTCCACATAGTCAATGGAGAGAAACAGGCACTCACCATACAGTTCATCTATTTTCAATGTGGGTATCAAAAATACTGTCAGATGACTTGCACCCTGAAAGCATCCATTTCTCCTCACTGGTTATAAAAACAAGTTACTGTGTCCAACCCAGCTAGAAACATACATTTTGTGGATGTATAAACTTGAGAGCAAAGAGTCCCATCTACAAAATCCCATTTCAAATTGTATAACTTTTGTTATAAAACAACTTTTTTATGGAGAAAAATCTAATTATGTAGGTCATAAAATTACAGAAAGATTTTTCATAAGCACATCCACATTAAAAAAACTCCTTTTCTAGCAGAGTAATATGTCTACCTTTATGTAAACTGTATTGTAAAGCATATATACATTAGTTATATATAATCACTGATTTGCGAATTTCAGGACCCAAAAAACTCACTTGCACAAGTAATCCTGTTAACAGTAAATTCAGTCACTCAGAGCCACATATTCTCACAAGCAAAATGAAACTCTCTTTAGTTGACCAAAGAGCTCATAGTCTCAAAGTCAACTTGAAAATCCTCTCTGAATTCTCCTAAGCTTTGGCCAGGTCTTTGAACCATACTAAATACTGACATACGAAATAAAGGATAATGAGAACATAATCCTTCTCTATCACGTCATTTTAAAGAGAAAATAAGGTAGAAGGCTCAAGTCCATATTCCATCTCCCTGCCCCAAGACAGGATCACAGTTACTCAAATTAGTACTACAGCTGCTTTTCCAGACTATTACAGTAGTCAGATGAGAGATGCTAAAACCTCCCAGTCTATTACAGGTGTTCACAGCTCCTCTTCTCAGAAAGTCATTCCACCATCTAAATGAAATCTTTCTTACACTGCTTAAGTCTATTGCTTCTTGCCATATCCTCTGTGATACCTGGCATGTACGTGAAAAATAGTATCATTCAGGAGTCATTTAAGCAGTCACCGTTGTCACTGTAACTGTTTCTTCCTGCCTCCCCTTAGGCATGTCACCAAAGACCTCAGGTAAGGTGTCGTTGCTCTTGAATAGCCTGATGTCCAGTGGAATTATTGAATGCATGTTGGAGGTGCCTTTCTGTTCATTATAGAGGAGACTAAAGCACATAGGTACCAGCTGTGTGGGATGCATCTGGATTCTAACTACCAATCAGTATCAGACATTAACACTTAAGAAACAGAACAGCCATATGCACTCGGTTCTTGCTTGACATGCTGTTCACCCACAAGGAGGAGGAAGATCCTCTGGTACTTAAATATTTTGTAAAAAAGGCCTATCTTTTTCTGCATTTCTCTGCTTCACATGAAATTATTGTTCATCTTCAGTTAAAGAACCACCTGTTTTCTTCATGTAGCCATCTTGACAGTCAGAAGAGAGTCTCTGTGGTGCAACTGGTCAGCGCATTCGGCTGTTAACCGAAAGGCTGGTGGTTCAAGCCCACCCAGGGGTGGGTTCTGCTTTCCCTGCCCATGGCAGCGGGGTGGAACTAGGTGACTTTTAGTGTCCTTTCCAACCCAAACCATTCTATGAGCCTAAGATTGAGCATTTTCATGCTACACCCCCTTGTGACAGTGACTGCTAGCTGCTATTTGTTCACCACTGTCAGATAGTCCAGTGCAAAAAGAATCCCCTGGCAGCATAAATCCCAGGGCTTTTACACAACTGCTTCTTGTTTCTGTCATAGCAGTAAGTCATTTTGTTGGGTAAAGTTTGTGGCCTCACCTTTCCTCAAATAATGTCCAGCTTCCTACATGTCTGTACTTTGTATATTCATATGAGTTGATGAACAATGAAGACTATACAGAGACTGGGTTGCTTCAAACTGATACAACAACTCAGTAAAGATATAATTACTAGCTGGGCCAAAGCCTCCAAGACATGAGCTTTACTATACCCATTTGCTTGCCATGATGTTCCCTTACAGTCATAACTACATTACAAATGTAGTACAATGGGAAAATTCAACCCATTGATTCCAAGAATCAGTGTAGGATTCAGTATTGTTACCCACTGGACACATTTCCCCATCAAAATCTCCTGGAGTTTTCTCCTAGTTTTTCTCTCAGAGAGATTTCCCTCCAAACCTGTAAGACCCTCCAAAGACAAAGCCTCTTCTAGGAGCCACGCAGTTTATGGATAGCCCCTTGATCTCAGAAATTATCTTTCTTGGTATTCATCCTAGCAAAGATACTGGTAAAGTTTTGCCTAATGGGATTTAAGGAGTCAAGCCATCACCAGAGTGACTTCCTGCTCCCATTTAATTTCCCCTAAACCAGCATAAAACTGGGGATTCCCAAAATGAGCATTCAGACCTCTTACTATCCTCCCTAGGAAACAGAGCATAGTAGAAGTAGGAGCTCTTTATCAATTTCACAATGAGGGGAGAGCATAATTTGCTTCCCACTTTTCAGATCGTTAACACCAACCACTAAACCCATGCCCAGACTACTATCAGAGAACAAGGTGGGATTACTTCAACATAGCTTTAGAATCACTGAGAGCAATGAAACAATTACAAGTGTAAGTCACTAAAATGATCTGATGCCATTCTTACAGATTCTTCAAAGAAAGAGCCTCGATGGAATTTCTGGAAATACCTTGTCAGCCCTGAAGGTAAAGTTGTGAAATTCTGGAGACCTGAAGAGCCTATAGAAAATATCAAGCCAGAAGTAGCATCATTAGTTAGACAGATTATCGTGAAAAAAAGAGAAGACCTATGAAAAAGCCATTTATGCGGTAAATCCATTCAACAACAGGGGTACACAGCCTTACTACATTCCTGGAAAACGCTGCTAGAAGCTAAAGCATCAGGTGATTTTACTTCGCTTTGATGATAGTATTTTCAGCTATACTATGTCTATTAATGTTGGACTGGTTCATGTAATGGCCTTGAGAACCATGGGAGTCTACCGAGAATAGCAAGACACTCAGTACCTTGCAGGGATGGACCTTGAAATTGCATAAAGTTTTGAATGTTTCTTTACATTACTGACAGTAGCTAATTAAAGTCACCAAGAGCAGGGAGATAGCTAAAAAGAAGAGGAATTGTTGATGAATTACTCAGTATTTGCACAGAAGAGTTTTGTTTCTCATCTAGCAGGAACAAATAGATTTTGATATTCCATTAACACATAAATGCCCTGACTGAAACACATGGGGCCAGATCCATCACATCAGGGTTTTTAGAAACAAATGCAACTGAAGATACTAGCTTTGCAGTATCTTCTCAGGAAAGATGAGTGAATTGTAAAGCTGTCAACTTAGTTGTAAAAAGGTGTACATAGAAAATAAAATTATGAAAAGAAAAAGGAAAAATTGCAAAAATATTTCCTTGCCTGCTTTGTATTTTGATTAATTTTACATTTCACCTTTACAGCAGCACCTTTAACCTCTTTAGGCTTCTGCATTCATTTGCACTGCAGTAGAGCAGCTTGGCTATGAGCTGGATCCCCAGCCTCCTGACCTGGATGAAAGCAGGGCCTGTGTGAATACATACAAATGGGTGCTCACAGGAAGATTCAACGGGTAACAATCATCAACAGTCAGACATCCTTCTATCTTGCATCTCTGGAATGAACCAGTCCTTCAGTAAAGGTAGAAGAAGGGGCTGAAAGTTCATGCCTTAAGCCCCACTCTTCTCAACTTGTAGTCTCCCCAGTCCTGCATGTAACCGCAAACCCATTTCCAGCTCTGTTCCACTGTTCTATTTCAAACTGCCAAGTGCTTTGATTTATCTTTTGATGAATACAGACAGAAAATTGAAATAAGGAACTTCATTCCAGCTGTCCAGGTCTTAAAGGAAGCCTGAGAGAAAATAAATGAGAGAAACAGCATCTCAAAGGGGTTTTTCTATATGAAAAAGGACTGGAAACATTAACACTGTTCTCTTGAAAATCTAAGTGACTGAAAATACCCAAAGTGCTTCAAAACATTTTCCAATAAAGATAGCCACATAACTGAATTTAAAAGGTGAGAAATTCAGAAGCAATTTTAAAAAGGGGATTTTCTCATTCATCTGTGAAATTCATGGAGAATTTCACAGGAAGCCTCTGAAGGATAAGGACATAAACAGTTTAAAAAGAATGAGTAATGATACTGATGTGGAGGATTAAACAGTCACCCTCCGTAAGATAAGCATCATTTTGGAAGGAAGGTCAAACCTTATGCATGACAATTTTATCCACTCTAACTTTCAGAGATCAGCGGAGGCCTACATAAGGGTCTAGTTAGTCCAACTGTGCCTATTGCTGGTGGTTTAGACCAACCTCTGAACTGTTTGCTCACAGGTTTCTACACCCAATCGGTCAAAACAGCTCCTGCTTTTACACTGAGGTTCTGTGTTTCACTCCTGTTTTCTTGTGCATGTATAGTTCCAGCCTTGGGAACATGAAGTGGAAGGTGTCAGGTGATTTTTGTCACATGTCCCTGCTGCTTTGATGGAGTAGGAAGGAAACAGAGATGTGGATTCTCTCCCCTCACTGGCAGCAGTCTGTATCCCATAGAACTAAGTGGCAGGACACCATGTTGTTCCCGTAAGTGGTGGATGATATCTTTACTTGAAAAAATGTATGTGACTAAAACATGCACATCCATTCATGTGCACTACTATATCTCCCTGTTTTTTGTATCACTGAGTAAAAAAGGGTAGTTATAAAGAAATGTTGGGTGCTGTTAGTGGAACACCTGAAAAATAATATATTTTAGTCCTGTTATTGCCTGAGCGTATTACTCAACATACAGGAAATTTCACCCAAGTTCTTGAAATACCCTATTGAGAGATAAACTGTGCAGTATCATTTTCTCATTTGGAAGGGATCAGGAAGGAAGGGAGTGTGCACACCTTGCTTGCAATTCACTCACTGAGGCTCACATCCTATTTTTCACAGGGCATGCTGTAATGTCAAATAACTCAGTGCCAGCATTGAGATCAAATATCTTTCCTGATATTCAGAAATAGCATGGGATATTAGCAAAAGAGCGGACATGATTATTTAACTCCCTGCTTCCTGAACTACTTTTACTTTAGATTTCTAGAAAAGGAAGGTTTTGCCTGAGGAAACAGTCACTAAATGTCTTATTTTACTGTTTGATCAAAATCCACTACAACCATCTTCTGTAGAAATTTGAATATAGGTACCATTCAGTCTTGAATCTACACAGAGTTTAAGTTTTTCAGTTTTTCAAACTGTAAGCTCAGTACGTTTGTATTACTTATTCTTCATGAGACGTACCAGCTTTTCCAATGTAATATTTAGGGCAGATCACTGATAAACTTGTCACTTCTTCCTTAAAATGAAGTTAACAGTTAAAAAAGGGTAAAAATAAAACAGGCATCTTTGCCAGCCAAATCTACACAGACTTGGAAAGGGGAATAAATAAAATGAAAGAACACCGTTATACAAGCACACATTTATCTATAGTTGAAAGTCAACAAAGTAATACGAATACATGTTTTTATAATGTCCATTTACAATTTATGTAGGGTGTATCTTATAAAAAATACTAAACTACAAACACTATAAACAAATTAAAACCTGTTTATTAGATTCTTAAATAATCTCACCAATTTAAGATTAAACTGCCCAAACCTGAAACTCTTACTTAATACTTACATAATTTATTAACTTCTTCAGAAGCCAGTCGGATTAGGTGTACAGGTACATCAAATACAGTTACAGTTACTTTTTTACCCTTGTTCACTCAGTTTGTATAACCTAGAAGAGCTCCTTTCAGTCAGGGGAATTAGGCAGGCACTGGGCCCAATACTACCTTTAAGGATCAGATGATATATTTCTCAAACCAGTGTATTTATTGTAACAGTATTTATGATAACATTCTTGTCTCAACAGTGATGTGGTAATGTGGCAGTGTAATCAGTTGCTGGTGTATGTAGAACAGCTACTAAGTACACTGCCTAACCACCACGCACAGCAGCAGGATCACCCCAGTTCTTTGGACCATCACAAACAGTGATGCTATTTCTCTTCCTATGACACCTGCACTTTGGAAGGCACATATGGCAGCACCCAGATACAGCAAGTAATAACAAGTTTCTTTTTAATTTTTCAAACTGCCTGAAGTGCTGGGATGAGGATAGAAGTAACACTCAGTTACCTGTGGCAGCATGACAGAAGCTTGCAGTGTAACATCAGTCAAAGGATCAGTGTATTTATATCCCTTATCCTTCCAAGGTATAATATTATGTCCTATTCAGATTGTGTCTCCTGGTTGGTGAGACTATGTGCATGTCTGTTTACAAATGTATTGCTGTTCACAAATTAAGTTATTCTGAGAAGCAAGAGGAGAAGAAAAACTCTAAAAGGTGACTTGTATTTTTTTCTTTAATATAGAATGGAAAGGTAATTATTTTTCAGATATAGCATTCAGGAAGTTATTTTAAGCCTTTCCAGCATCTATTTACTCAGTAAACCAAACTTTAAAACTCTTGTGACTTTTTAACTGTTCTTCTTTTGCTTCAAGAAAATTTCTATAGCTTAAAATTGTTTCAAATGTTTGAATTATTTATCTGTTTCAGGGACTTACAAACTTCCGTTACCTTGGTAGCTAAAAGCAGATGAAAATCAGAAACTAAATCAACTAGAAATTCTCACAATTCTTTGGATGATAGTGGATAACAGAAACACAAGATACCACTATAATACCAAAAATAAGTCTGACAGTCAAAAAATCAGGTGGACCCAAAAGATTCCTAATGCAGAAGTAGTAGCTCTCCATTGCAATGATCAAGGTATGTGGAAAAGGATAGCAACTGCATGTTAGCTGATGTCAGAATTTTAACCAGCTAACATACACTGCCATCCCATCACACACAAACACACCACCTGCATTCCCAGAAATTAGACCCCTACCACATTCCAAAGTGATTGGCTGTTCCTTTAAACAGTGATGAGCTGGCTCTGCAGCTGGTGACAGTGCAGCAGTGACTGCTCCATTCAGATACAGCAGCCAGCTAGCAACACATTGCCTACCAGACACAGAATCCCTGCAGAGCAAGATGTGTCATGAAGTAACATGCCTGGAAACATCTCTTATTTTCTACCTAAATTCAGCATTGCTCACTGTTTTGAAGCTGACGTTTCACATATATGCACAAGTTCAAGCAGTAAATATTGTCATGAAATATATTGCACAGATAAGTTTCTGATTCAAAAAACAGAAGTAATACTTAAAACCTATGTGCAGTATGACTAGAATCAGATCCCAGACTATCCAAAAAGAACTGAATAGCATTGCAAAGAGTTTCCTGCCTCGGTTTTACGAGCACCAATATAGCATGTTATCTCCACAAGTTAATTAGTATCACATATACTTAACTTCCGTCCTTTCTCTCTTGGGCATCCATAGAATCATAGAATAATTAGGGTTGGAAAGGACCTTAAGATCAACTAGTTCCAACCCCCCTGCCATGGACAGGGACACCTTATGCTAAATCGTATCACCCAAGGCCTCGTCCAACCTGGTCTTGAACACTGCCAGGGATGGAGCATTCACAACCTCCCTGGGCAACCCATTCCAGTGCCTCACCACCCTCACAGGAAAGAATTTCCTTCTTATATCCAATCTAAACTTCCCTGTTTAAGTTTTAACCCATTATCACTTGTCCTTGTCACTACAGTCCCTAATGAAGAGTCCCTCCCCAGCATCCTTATAGGCCCCCTTCAGATACAGAAAGGCTGCTATGAGGTCTCCACGCAGCCTTCTCTTCTCCAGGCTGAACAGCCCCAACTTCCTCAGCCTGTCTTCATACAGGAGGTGCTCCAGTCCCCTGATCATCCTTGTGGCCCTTCTCTGGACTTGTTCCAACAGTTCCATGTCCTTTTTACATTGAGGACATCAGAACTGCACACAATACTCCAGGTGAGGTCTCATGAGAGCAGAGTAGAGGGGCAGGATCACCTCCTTCGACCTGCTGGTCACGCTCCTTTTGATGCAGCCCAGGATATGGTTGGCTTTCTGGGCTGCGAGCGCACACTGCCGGCTCATGTTCATTTTCTCATCAACCAACACCCCCAAGTCCTTCTCCGCAAGGCTGCTCTGAATCTCTTCTCTGCCCAACCTGTAGCTGTGCCTGGGATTGCTTCCCAGGTCCAGGTGTAGGACCTTGCACTTGGCATGGTTAAACTTCATGAGGTTGGCATCAGCCCACCTCACAAGCGTGTCAAGGTCCCTCTGGATGGCATTCCTTCCCTCCAGCCTGTCAACCGAACCACACAGCTTGGTGTCATCAGCAAACTTGCTGAGGGCGCACTCAATCCCACTGTCCATGTCAGCGACAAAGATGTTAAACAAGACCGGTCCCAACACCGATCCCTGAGGGACGCCACTCATTACTGGTCTCCAGCCGGACATTGAGCCATTGGACCACAACTGTTTGTGTGCGGCCATCTAACCAGTTCTTTATCCACAAGGTGGTCCATCCATCAAATTGATGTCTCTCCAATTTAGAGACAAAATTTATGGTCACTGTTGAAATTTTAGTCTAGATGAGCCCAAAGTATAGTCACCTTTAGGCTAGTTTGAAATTAGAATTATCATTGGTTACTCTGTAGAGCAACTTAACATCAGGTGATCAGCCACACTACCTCCATTTACAGCCACATAACGGAAAGTGCATAAAGATCCCAAGATTCAAGCTTACAGATTTAGGATGAATAGAGGCAAAATTTTACCTACAACATCCATTTTGATGGAAAGCCCTTTGAAGTCATGCTGGAAAGCAGCCACCGAGTTATACACTCTATATGAAAATGAATACCAAATTCAAAGCTTTCCCTTGCTTCTTCAAAGCTGGACTTAAATCACTCAACATAAATCTCAACTCAATATGAAACAGAACACTGGAAAATTTACTTGCCTGAATGCTGTTGTTAGCAGCCACATAAAAGCACTGGCTAATTGAGTTCTGCTTGTTCCATAGCAAGAGGAGGCCACCTCTGAGTTTTCCACGATGCTTTTGTATGAAACAATATGGAGCGCAGCTAGCAGCTGTTGACACTTCAGACACAACAGCCAGCTAGCGCACTGCCAGACTGTTACATCCTCTTGAGTTTTGGTCATTAGTCCTCCCTTACCATCCCCCTCCAAATTTTCTTCTCCTAGGACCCAGGCATTGCTCAGTTTAACAACACAGCTTTTCCCACGGGGTCACTTACATGAAATATTTATGTAGAAGTGACACTCGCAGAATGCTGGTGGCTACATTTCTATACGCTGGTCACATCTGAGAGCATACTACTCATTGCCTGCTACAGTATTTTCAGCATGGTCAATCCCTTCTATGCCTTCACCTGGCATTCCACCAGCTTGTGTACTGCTGTCTCACCAGGTTTTGTGATCTCTGTCAACTCCGTAAGGCACAAGCTGCCTATATTTTGCCTCTTTTTACTGTCAAGCATGTTGTTGGTGATTTATAGGCTTTCCACCTATGTTCCTACTGGTTATGCAAGAATGTTTTCTGTACCTTTTGTATTTACCACCCTCTAAATGTGGACGAATCAGCGTGCACTGCCAATAAAAAGACAGGTATGTAAATCCATACAACCCCTTCAATCATTTCGGTTTGAACAGCAAGCAGTCCCTCTAGTGTCAAAGGAGAGAAGCCCACACAGGTGTTTTGAATTTCTCCTCTCAACAGATGACACTTTACCATAACTTGTGTTTTCCTGACATTTCAGGTGGTACATTTAAGGAAGTGTGAGAATGATTAATAGAAAAGGAAAAAAATACTATAATCTTGGTGGTTTGGTTTTTAAGATCACTTGTTTTCAACAGTTTCCACCTCTCCCTCCCCCAGAAATGTAAAGAGAGGAGCTCTTCAGCGCAGCGCATACAAACTGTGAATGCTTGTGCTTGCCCTTACCTTAGCTGCTTTCTGCAGGCGTTGCTCTCGGCTCCGCTTCAGGTCTTTTCCAAATGTTCTCATCCCTTTCCCCTTGAAAGAAACACAGAGGCGCACCACTTCACAAACGCATGCCTCGCAGCTTCTCCTCCCTTACATCACTCTCCACCCCGCCTAGCTCCTTGCAAGGCTTCGCTGGGAGCCCCATGACAAGCTCCCCGGCCGCCCCCACTCCCCGCACAGGGCACCATTACCAGCAGCGAATCCTCATCCCTCCCGCCTGTCCTCCGGTCCGGTTTCTCCAGCTTCCACTCTACCTCCACCGGGGCCGCCAGAGGCAACCGCCGCTGCCGCCTCAGACGTGATGACCTGACCTCCAAGTGGCTCCCTGCGGACGGAGGGGGGCCCGCCGGGATGTGATCGGGTGGCCAGAGCAGGTGTACGGAAGGCAACCTGTGGGAAAGTCCGCTCGCAGCGCCGCCAGCCCGTGCTGCCAGTGCGGCGGTGCCAGCCCCTCCACCACACACCCCGCACCTCTCCTCTCCGGCCGCCGGTGCTCTTTAAGCAACCTGAGGCGCGCCCGGCGAGGCGGGAACTCGCGGTCAGCGGCGCGACTCGGCCCGGCCCGGCCCGGCCCGGCCCGCCGGCGGGACGGAGCGCGCCCGGGCTGCGCGGCGGCGCCAAGGAGCGGCGGCGGGCGGCGGCAAAGGAGCCCGTCGCGGCGGGTCCCTCAGCCCCTGCGCGGGGGGAGCGGGGCAGTGGCCGGTGCCAAACGGTCCTAGCTCCTCCCGGGCACGGACAGGCCCCTGGACCGGCACCCCAGCGGCTGCTGCCCGCCGCGCCGGGGCGGTGGGTCACCTCCACAGGGCTGCCTCGGCCCCAGCCCGGGGAGCGGAGCGGGGCAGCTTCGGCGCACTCCACGGGCAAAACCCCTCACGTCGGTTGTGTTCTTACGGAGGGTTTTGCGGACGGTGAGGAGCCGGACAAGGGCACCCAGCAGCGGACTCGCAGGGAGGCCTGGGAATCATTGTCTAGCTGCGCTGACTGGGTCCGGCTGTCTGAAAACGGGGCTAGGCAGAGACCTAAAGCAGTGCACCGCATCTCTGCACTCTGTGGTGACGGCCAAAAGGCTTCCAGAAACAAAACCGGGCAGAACCTAACCACCGCCATAAGCAATCACTCAACCTGCGATCGCTTGCTTCAATGTGATGGGCAAAGGCACAAGTCGTAGGGGGAAATGTGGACAATTAATTTGTCCCAGCAGATTAAGTTGCTTACGTGTGGTTTATGGAGTGCAGGTAACAGGGGTATTGCGCACACCTTAGGCACTCGTGTCACCCGAGAAAACTGGAGTTGGCAGGAAATAAGTTGAACGTGGGTTTTGTGTTTTTGTCACAAGATAAGGTTTTGTTAAATCCAAAGAGCTAGGAAGTGAAAAGATGAGTTACCACAACATACACATCCTTTTTTTTTCTTTCCTTTTTTTTTCCAAAAAATAAGTTCAGAACCATTCTTTTTTCAGCCCTTGTTACAGTTTCAAAATTTTGAGTGATGGTTTTCAAGTGACAGAAGCTGAGGGACAAGCAGCTTGTAAAAAAGAAAAAGCTTTTCGTCTTTCTAGCTTTTGGATCTGAGAATCAACATTAAAAGTGTTATCTTTTTACAGTAAGGATCAGACTGACACTTTTAAAAATGTGCTCAAAGTTATTTTCACTTAAGGTTTCAGGAATATAAGAGATTTTTCTGACTTTTAGTTGGAAATGTATCATTTGAACAACAACAACAAAAAATCTTCTGCAAAAATCCAATAGAATCATGGAATAGTTAGGGTTGGAAAGGACCTTAAGATCTTCTCATGAAAAGTCCCATTTCTGACTCATTGCTATTTCTATAGCTGCTGCCTACATCACATCTGAAAAAGGGCATCATGTAAGCAAGACGGAGGAGATTATTGATGCTTGAGTTACAGGCAATACTTAAATATCAGATGATAGACCTGTTTTGGCACATCAAAATTAGACTATTTCAAAAGTGCCATTTTATTATCTCATTTCATACTGGTAAGGACGCAGCTAAGCAAAATCAGGACGCGAAGTGTCTGAGTCACTCAACTCCACCTTAAAGCTTTCCGTAAAGCAAACAACACGTAAGGCATTCATTGCTAGAGTACTGCCACAAAGGATTGTTTGCAATGCTTCAGTTGTTCGTTTAACTGAATACGAGCTCTTCCTACAAGACTATCGTTCACAGCCAACCAGCAGTTACCCTCCCTAACAGCAGATGCTGGCATGCATGGCAAAGCCAGCTGACTTTAATACTCAATGAATTAACAACGCTCAGGCAAAGTATATTGAACCATTACGTATCAGACCAGTGTCTGGGCCTCTTAACGAAGCTTTTGATGGCACTGAAAACTTAATTTCAGATGAGCAAACCTGTAATCACACAGTTTGGTCGACAGTGGTCAAACAGTGGTTTGAAAGAGGTCACAGTCTGAGAGCTATATGGTTGTAAACTGGAATACAAGTCAAAAGTTGTTCAGTCAACAAGGTTTTATTTGAGTGAATTTGAATTAGGATTAATTAATGCCGAGCAAGCCATTAAAGAGTAAATAACATGATGCACTGCAATTGGTGTTACAATCAGGGATTCCTGTCTGTGAACCTTATGCATGCATACATCAGGAACACATTACAAGAAAAGATTTGGAGGCTTTTCTGTAAAATGTCTGAATACTGATTAGCAAGTAAAAAACATGCCAAGGCATTATGTTTGTTAGTAGCTTTAAAGTAAGTAGATCCCTAAATGAAGTCATTGGTAAATAAAATCCAGAAATAAGCAGAAGTGGGAAAATCTGAGTTGCTTTATGTTTGCTAAGGAGGATGACTTGGATTTTGAGGCAGGTATTACACAACACACCAAGGATATCCTTAAAGCTCTTGTCTTCACTTGAAGCACCTCGTACTCTGGAAATGATGTGGTAGATAAAACCTCTGACATTTAAAAATTGAAACTGAAATTTAGACAATGGACTTTTGTTTTAGAAAAGCTTTCCACAAATAAGCATATCTCTTCTGAAATGCTTCCAGCATCTCACTAACATGTGTCTCTTCACAGTGAAATGAAAAGTTCATCTCGATCAAGTGTCTTCATTTCTTTCTCACTTCATTTCTTTCTTATTTTAGGCTCCTCATTATAGAACCGATGCAGGCAATTGCTCAGTTATTTCCCTTACACACTAGAAATGGGAGTGAATTTTTGTAGCTCACTGTAAAAATACTCCCAAACACTATGTAGGAACCATGTAGTTTGTCCTTGCTGGCAGCAGATGGTGCTAATACGTTGTTGCTTGGTACATTCTTGAAAGCTGGCATGCAGGTTCTCAATCCCATAGTAACTTTTTGGGTTTTTCTCCTTTGTTATCCCCAAAGTCTTTTGATACCGATTTTTCAGAAGAAGCAGCCTTCAGAATTTTTCAAGCTGAAATACCAGTTTATAGTTTGAAGGTGGGATCTGGACATCAGTTACAAGCCTCCCAAATGTTATCAGGTTATTAAGCACTAACTGAAATAACACATTTCAGAAAAAGCTGGATTCATCACATCCAGACTGCTAACCAAGGACCGCTAAAAGTTGTAAGCCCCAGGTGTTCAGAACACAATAATGAGGGTGCTCCTTGCCAGATAATTGCTGACAAGAGGTGATGCTAGTTTTCACCAAATTCTGGCAAGTAGAGGATCACAAGAGCTGGTCATAGAAAATTGTCTTAAAATTAGTAGATGACAGCTTGTCTCCATGTCAGAGAAAGAGGTAAACAAAACTGCTCTTTAGATTCTGTTGCACCTCCATACCATAATTTCCCACGGAAATAAGTCTCTGGTTTCACTTAAAAAAACTGCTATTTAGGGAACGTCAGACAATATTTTCAACTATACTATATAATGGTTGGCCTCTCTAAACAACTGACAATAGTAGTAGATTTATAAAAGGGAGCTTTGCCTCTCAAGTGTTTCTAAGTGCAACAGAAAGCAGAGAAAGGAAGGGGAAGGAAAGAATCAGGAAAGGGAAGGTACTCAGTTCATATGGCTGTTTTCATCACATCGTTTCACACTGCAACTAGCAACCATTGTTTAGACTCCAGTATGAAATATTATTGCCCAGACAACTGGAATATTCTGGCAGTGAAACACAGCTTCATTTTAGCTGTAAAAACACATTATTAAGATGTCTTTCAGAGGACGATGAGAGAAAGAAGTTCCTGATTCTTCTCTGGGGATTACCTTAAGCCATGCACTTAACATCTCAGTCTGCTAGTTTGCTCATCAGGCATCTCCCATTTCATATACCTTTGCCAGCACAGGAAAGGGGTTGTGAGTGTGTGGGAAGTGAGCTGTGGAAATGACTGTCCACTATTTATCCTCAGATGAACACTTCAGACATTAAGAAAAGTTGCATCTACACAAACAAGTGAGAAAATAAATTAAAAACCCTGTAACTGTCCCTTATGTGCTACATTCTGTCACTGCAAGTATGCTGCACTATGCGGATAGACTGACACTTAAGAGGTGAAGACTGTCTGTATATTTTTCTGACTTTTACCATTTATCCACACCTTCCCCTCCACCTAAACTTTTTTATATTTCCAATGTTAAATTCAGCACTAATAACAAGCCTTGTTGTCAGGCATGTGTAAGTAGATGAAGGATCAGTTTATCTCAGGAAAGAATTTGGGTCAGCCATCAGTTTCTGGCTTGTAATAGGTTTTTATTGGTTTAAAAACAGGGTGGGGGAAAGGGAGGAGAAAAAAATAAAACAAGTGTACCAAGGGATAAGTGCATTTGAATATATTATATGACTTTTCATGTAACATACTGTTTAACATGACCTTCAGCTTTCATAAAACAGTAGTGCACTCTAGTAATTGCCTGGTTTTGCTGCTCAGTGGGCAGACCAAGACCTATGCTGCTTGTCCCAGGCCTTTCTGCTACGTTTCTGTCTTCGGTGTTCACCTCCTTTATCTGTGCACATTAAGAATCCATTTCAGCACACCACTGCTGCAAAGAATGTCTCATTTAAGGCTTCAAACACCTTGGAATCCC